AAGGAGGAAAACAGAAAGTGGAAATAGACCATGACAAAAAGTAGCATACACGGAGAGGCTGAAGGAAAACATTCGGCCCTTTTCAAGTAGTTTGAATTACGTAACGAATAGATTCCCCGTCAAATCGAATAGCATCGAATAACCTTCGGAACTACTCCGCTCCAGTGATCAACTATCATTGTTCTAGTAAGGAGATCGATTTTTCCGAGTATTTAAAGTAATCCAGTAGACATGAGTAATGTATATGTTAATACGACATGTCTACTACAAAGGTTCATCATTCAAAGAGGAAGAGAGCGCTGAACGAGAAAAAAAAGGGCCAAAAGGGCCGCTGGTCAACAGGAATTTTTTCTGAAAGATTTAATTCTAGGTGATTGAAAGCCTAACAAGGCTAAATGGCCGATTAAGCGGTAAATCGTAGGAGGACCTCATGACCCTATGCCCTAGGACGGGATGGACGTCACCTTCACCGTGTCAATTAAGCACTACGGAAACTGGGCACTCCAAGAAGCATAACGAGGGGGTGCTAAAACGTTTAACGTGGTGAGCACTTAAGCCCATCCCATTTCAGCCGCTCCTCTATACATCCGCCAACGCATTAGAGACACATAATGCCACTGAACATCTCGAACACAATACGTAAAATCACCACATCAACGCTGCCCTCTTATCCAGAAGAGACTCGTCCAAGGCAATTCATTAGTAATGCACGATTGTACGCAATAAATCGACGGCTACTGGAGTGATTCTGAATGAACGTGTTCGAGAATGTCAACTGAACACAGTAGACACGGAGTATGATCGTATAAACAACGACAGGCCGAATGGTATGCAACTCCGCCACCGTCTGGCAAGACTCCAGAACAATTATCGTCGAGAATAACATACAATTTCAACAATTACTGGGAACAGGTGATCAGTCTATTAAATAGGAACAATAGGATGCGAGTAGTAAGCGCAGAATGGGGGCGTGGATCGGACGGGTTAGGGAAGGAGAAGGAGGAGGAGGAGGCGGCTGGGTTGTGGCCCGCACACACATGTGTACGGTCGACCTCGCCTCCATGAACAATTATGAAACGATGAAGATGAAATAAAGAGATTAGCGCACTTTAAATGAAACAAATCCAGTCAATAATGACCTGTATAGTGGGGGTATGAGAAGGTGTGGGAGTGGTTCCCACCCCATAACCCTGATACCGATCCCCCACCGATAGACTCTGATATGGGATGAACCACAATGACGAGTACCGCTTCGCGCTTTCCAGGGGTCAACGTCGACCCGGGGTAAACAAACGAAATGGACGCAAGCGTTGCCTCAACTACATCTATACAAACACCTCAAGGACCTGCACACACATTGAGAGACATAGACGCCTCCGTTCGATATGCCAAAGAAGAAGCTATCCGATGAACAAGAAGCACCTGGCCCCCGTGATCTTTTCGTTCACGCCAACCTATACCAGCTGAGAACATCTTATCCACAATGCAACGTGTACGGACTGGCAAATTCACTAGCCATTTTCGTCAATTTCTCCATGATAAAGGGTATAAATTAAGCTATATTTGCACTGACTCAAATAACCCTACACACTCCAATAGAACCTTTTTTTATCCTGAAGTGAGGTAACTAGTAGGTCTAATTGTCCTTACAATGAATCCAGTGTCTGCGTACATCCTGGAAACTTGTGAAAATTCGTCTTGTAGTCAGTTCGAATTTGGAAAAGGACATCATCCATTCCAAGCCCTAGCGAACAGATCATTTATGACTGATCCAAGAGGAAATC